TATCAAGGTGTGAAGGTTTAGTCTTTTTCTAAACTAAGATCTCTTTAGGCAATCTCAACTTTTTTCGGGGTTCGTTCTCCCACCTGTTTAGGTTATGTTGAATAATACTATCTATATAAACCACTTTTTACTTTCCGAACATATACCAACGGATTTGAATCCAATTCACTTTCTTGAATTTGGCCAGATAGACAGTTGGCTAAAGTGTTCGATCGACTTGTCATCAATTTGACGTTTGCAAATATTGATACAATTCTTTAGATTGGCTCGAAAAAATTCGAAACTCTATATCCAAATATGAGCAGTGTCGGCCAATAGGTGCAGGTGTTTATCTGAAAATTGAAAAACGATCGATAACATGTTCTTCAACGAACGACAGACGCCTGATACATTTTGACGATAGAGAGTCCAACTGCGACGGTGAACAGCTACAACTACGAAATTATCGACGACAATAAGGCAAACGAAATGAAATATACTAGCATGCTTGACAGAACTGGATTGCTGCAAAAACCACGAGCGCTGATATGACACTAAGCTTGAGTGCATGTGTGTGTGTGCGATCCAAATGCTTCAAAGCGTATTGCATTAGTTCAAGTAGGCCTTTGGTGCTGCATAAAAACCGAACTGGAATAATAAAAGGTTCTAACAACTTTTAACAGTCGCTTACAACAACAACACAACACTATGCATTTCAAGCCACTATCAGAATAAAACTGCAGTCGCTTAGAATTGCATCAATATTGCTGATACTCGTATTACTGCGGTCAACTTGACAATGGCAATGCGGATTGAAATGAAGTCGTCGAACAAGAGACCCCATTTTAATTGAACACTCTTGTTGCTCCCAAAGCAACAAACACTTGTCAATACTTAGGCAGAAAAACTCAATTCAGGTGAAAAAAGTGCTCATGTATTTGCATATGTATGTGTGAATGAAGATTTGTAAGTGTTGGGATCTTACAGTGGCTGTGACAAATATCAGAGCGTAAATAAAATTAATGATTTCAGCAAAAGAAAGATTTCTATATATGTGTGTTCGTCAAGGAATAAAAGAAGGTTAGAATACTAATTTACAAAATGCAATTAAAATGAAGTTTAAATTAAAAGCTGAATTGCAATTAAGCTGTAACAAATTTTGATAAATTTAGCCAATGAACTTTACTTTCAAAAGTAGGTTCACATAAGCAGTTTCTACTCAAACGCTTCATTTTAAATTTACATATAATATATTTATTACCTTGCATTAGGTTGGAACTTGAATTAAGATACATTTTTTATTCCACTTCCATATCTTCAATATCTTCATTAATAATACTATATTTGCTTATTTGAAACTCATGCTTTTACATTAGGGTGTTCAATAAAGTAGAAAATCTTAACTCCGTAAAATTCGACCATATGAAAAATAAGTTTTGATTATAATTTCGAGTTAGTTTAATCATAAAAAATGCAAAACACAAAACTTTCTAGGTAGATTTAATATATTAAAAGCATATAATTTCAATTAAAAGTGTTATAACATATGGTAAGTGTTTTTTATGAAGTGAATACAGGCATATTATTCAGTGAAAAACAAAATATCTTAATCATTTTTTCTTCAATCGAACTCCATTATTCATAACATGAATTTATATATGAGGTTCAAACTTAATCGTTTCGACATTAATGTATACCCGATTCGCGTAACTTTATC